TATAGATTAATTTGGTATAAATATCTCATTTTTGAATCTGAGGGTCGAAACCCACTTTTTCCTAGAACAGCCCCCATTTGTTGGCCAAAGCTTATTTTTTTTAATTATTAAAATAGTGTAACACAATAATTCTTAATAATAATATATACCCATAATCTCCAACAATTCTAAAATAATGTGTAAAGAGTTAAAAGAAAGAACCTTGACAGTTTAAGAAAAAAGATTTATGTGGGTATATTTGTCAATATTTTTTTTTAATCGTTCATAGAAATGCACCCCGTCGATCATCAATTAACATTCAAATTATTTAAACCGTTTTCCAATTTATCCAATTTATACTTTCTGAACAAGTACTGACTGAACTATGTCAATCCCAAGCAATATGATTTCAATTAGTAATTGGATATGTCTATATCCTGTATATTTTGACTCAACAAAAACAGTCCAACGAGGAAGAAGAATAACACAAAAAGAGGCTGTGAAACATCCATTGGCTAAAGATATTGCAGAAGTTGTAAAATCTTTAGGTTTAAATTGTGCTCTTGAGGTGATTTACAAGTGAATGAATGATTTTTAGAAAGAAAAGGATCCAATTATTTAATTCACACTCACATTCATATTGCTATTTTAAATGAGAAAAGCCACATAAAACACACCCTCAAGACTGGGAAAATCCTGGAAGGGTAAAAGTAGAATTGTTTAATGAAAAAAAATCACCAATAAGATATGAAATACCAACACGTAAGCCTAATGGCAATAATTAAGAACCGTTTTTTGATAATAATAAATGCTAAACATATTTGTTTATCAATTCAATTAGGTAAAGTGTTAATTAAAAATGTGGCAATATTATTAGCTAAAATCCAACAAGAAAGTCCACAACAATTTCCTCCACCACATTCCCCAGCTGTATTTGATAGTAATTCTAGTGATTCTACTTCAATGTCTAATCCAAATAGATCTACCTCTACCACAACTCCAGCATCATCATCGTCAAGCGAAATTGCAGGTACAACCAGAAGTTCAAGTTCTAACTTAAAAAAGAAAGGAAGAAAGAGCAAAAAATAACAACTTAATTTTTAGAATCTTGAAATTTTTATTATGTATTTATAATACAATAATCAATTTTAATTAAAAACTTTATCTCCAAAAAAAATATAATTTACCTTTATAATTATAATTATTATTATTTTATATATATTTTATTATTCCACCCATTTCTTTTTCACAGTTATTATTCATATTAATACCATTACCATTAAAATTATTGATTATTTGTCACATAAAGTATAAGCTTCGTCTATATAACTACCAAAACTTTTTCTGATGGATCGTTTTGTGTAACATTGCACAAGTTCAATATGTCACACGTTATTGTTGATTCTGAATATTATCAGAAGAACCCACAGACAGACATATTTGACATTCTATAACTCAAATCTACTAGCTACATAATATACATAATATTAATTTAAAACTTGTTAATTGATAAATTAATTCAAGATTAAAAATATCAAATAGTGAAATAGTAAGAAAAGTGGACCAAGTGTAACAATTAATACTAATATCTTCAGCAACAAATCCATTTAGTTTTCAAGAAATGAAATTTTATTAAAATAGGATCAAATTATTATATAAAAAGATTTTTCTTTAAAGTTTGTATATATAATCATATAATTATAATTAAAATTCAAATATAAATATCTGAAACTTCCAAATCTTCAATTTCTGCTTTAACAAGATGTTTTCCTGGAATCATAACAAGCCCAACAAATCTTTTTTGTTCTGTTAAACATTCCATATTTTCAAAATTACAATACAAAATTTTAATATTCAATCTTTTTAAAAAATTTTTTTAATTAGATAGAGATTTTACCATTTCGAAACTCTTCTGTTTGTGATAAAATTATATTTTTATATTTGTCTATGCACATAAAAGTTCCATTAAATATACGACCATCTGAAATTGTAATTTGAGCTCTAAGATTTAAATAAGAACGAAGTTGTTGAATTTTAGGTGTGTCTTGTGATATCTTTGGCGTATCTGCCATATTATTTTGATTTGTTTTTTTATTTACACCTAATTT